CTGATATCTTTATTGCGGTGCTGATCGATGGCTGCCGTTCCGGTGATTTCGTCTTCGTTAAAGCCGTGCTGTTACGAGTGGGTCTGCTCTTGCTTGCACTCACAGGCAGTCCCACTCCTAACAACACGGTTCTGACGAAGGCGAAACCACCGAAACGTCAGCCATCGATAAACAAAAACAATGACAAGTATACCAACCTCGCATCTGGTCAATAAAGGTAGTTAACAAAAACATAAACAAAAAAATGTTTGTTAAGCTCAAGAAAACTGGATTATAATCGTGGTTAAACAAGAAAGATTTTACCCTGTAGGTAAAAATTGAAGACTAAAGTACTTTTCACTGAAATTAACAAGGTTCCATGTAGTAAATTCTTTTACTTATTGTCTAGTCTTTCAATGGCAGGTTATGACAGAAATATAACCACAAAGATGCAGATATTTGCAAAACTTTAGACCACAGGTGTCTGCGCAAGAGATCGAACACGGTATCATAATTTCCAAAGACTAACGCGTTCACCATCACACCATACGGGTCTCTCTACTCGCTTTACTCTCAGTAGTGTTTTTATAAGTGCCATCAGCAGCCACAAATCAACGAAGTTGCTGTGCACTGACCCCAGTCAAGCTGGAGCTGTAGAATAAATAATAACAAGGTTCAATTTACACTGCGATATACCGGTTTACGTTCCAACGGTTTAAAGCCTCATCATGGCTGGGATGTGTTCCTGAGTGTCGGGCAGCGAAGTACAGCAGTGGTATTCATGTTCTTGGCAGGGTCTCCCAAGCCGAGAAGGACTCCGGCGTTCCCAAAACGAAGCCTGGTTAAGAGTAAACCAATACCAGGATCCACTACCATTCTGGTATCAAATTAGCCGCATGGTGGCAAAGTTCCCTCTGATGCGACTGCTTGTGGTTGTGACGACCTGGTGCAGATTGGCCCAGTTGACATCGGGACTCCAAGGAACCACAATGGCTAAACCAACAAATTTCCCAAAAACTGGAAAATACGCTGAGGCCCGCACAACCAGTGAGGACGGGCCATCCAAGTATCCAACCAAGTAAGTATATTCGTTTAAAATTGAAAGCAATCGCAACTTTCGCTTGACGTTAATGGAGACCAACTCACGTCGGAAAGATAGATGAAGTATTTAAAAATCGAAAATATTCAAAAAGACACCTCTTCCGTTATCCAAATGACATCGACATCCGTACCAGTAATGTTGACAAAACGGACATAAACCTTAACACATAAACTATTCCAATTCATGATGGAAGTACTGAATAAACATACAGCCACTGTCCCGACGACAGAGCGGATATTTCGAATACCTAAACCTTGAGGATTGATATTTTGTCGATTGCGTCGCTGGAGCTCTCCATCCATGTAGTAGAAGAGAAATGCCTGAAATGAAAACTATAATTGGGGTTACAGTTGCCCACAAAAGCGAAAACAACGACCAAATGGTTTAAGAAACGGTGAGTTGTAACAGCTATCCAAGTACACAGCAAAGTAAGGTAGGTAAAAAAGTACAGTAAGTACAGTAAGTAAAACAGTAAGTAAAGGTACCACAACTCTATCTCAACTTTACCCTATGTCTTTACTCAACTTTTACTCTATGTCTTTACTCAACTTTTACTTTAACTTGAACAGTTCTTAGCAGATGGTTACTATCGACTGACTGACTACACACTAAAGTAACTGAGCAACTCGTCCTGTTCAGAAACACTCCATAGGAGTACACTTCTAGTAAAACCGTGTACAAGACAATAAATGGTAAGCACTTTATAAACTACAATAAATATGAGATTTGCTTCAGCAAGGATGAGACGTTTACAACATGGACGCTGGTGCATTGCAGGAGAACAAGCTTTGATATGGGATGGTACTTTCCGTAGAATCTATCCCACCTCTTCTTTACTAGCCAATTTGACAACGTGATCAGATAAGTGGCACCAATGATTGGGTAAGTGAACACTCCACTTTAACAAAGCGTTGTTAGGAAGAGAAGCAGCTACGTTATAATACATGGTACAACTGTGGTCGAAATCCTTAGTAAGATTCCACTAACCAGTTACTACGACTAATTTACTCATAGAATCCATATTAAAATTCTTTAGACCTAATAACTCTCTAGAAAGTACGTCTGAAGTCCTGTAAAATCATTGCCGCAGTGCTGCTTACTTCTCATGATACCCCGCCCCGTCCTGTGCTCGCTACGGGACCATTCGAACGTACTACGCTGGTCAGCTTTTTTCTTTTTGTAAATGATTGATATCATGTTTTTCGTTAATTCTGCTGATTATGCAGTTTGTATCGGAATCACTTATTTTGACTTTCCACTCTCAAGAAATAAAGGTAGCCCGTAGTGCTAAGGCTGGCCCAGTCCTAACATCAAGGTCCGCCTCTTTTTGGTTAAGTACATTGTGCTCTTTTTTGCAACCTTCTAGAACTTGATTTTATTCTTTTCTTTACTGCGGTAAGTTAGTTGCAGCTGTCGAGTTGATATCGGTATTGTTGAAATATGGAAGAACGGATCCCTTGAAAGGACCACTTTCATAACTTCTTTCAGATGGATCGTTTACCGATCAGCTCGAACCCAGTTACTGACATCGACATTGTCCACAAACAATCATTTAACATCGAAGCATTCAACTGTGAATGGATGGATTGTCGACGCACAGAAATGTGATGAAGGACTAGCTAGACTATACGATAAGTACTTCCCATCTTCTTAAAGTAGTTTCTTCTGGATAAGGGCTTCTTCAAACTTCGTGTCGTTTTTGTCACCATTAGGGTACACTTAGAAGCAGCGAGATCGTGAGTGCTGCATGACTTCTGTTTTTTAACGCAGTACTTTTGGGATGTTTCTATGGCCCTGAAGCGTCTTTAGAGATCGTGGTGACTTACTGTAAAAATGACGTTGTTAAGATTCCGATGACGATGAAGCTGATTATCGTGGTTTTTACCTAACTCGCTTGCTTACGCTTAATATTTTAATGTAGCTGAGATGCAGGCGAAGCGAAGGACCCCGCATGGTGGGGTGGTGAACGCTTTAGCCCCCGGAAAAGGTAATGTCATGGTCGATCACCACCGCAGATACGTATGGTCCGGAGTTTTGCAAATATCTCTGTATCATTATGGTTGGCCTAACGTGTTTTCTCCAACTGATTCTTCTGCTTAATTTTGAGCAATATGTTATTCTCTTGAGGAAGATGTTGTTGGAAGGTGAGGGCAAGACGGTCGTCGAACTAAGTGTACCCATAGAACTACGTGGAAGAGGGTACGTTTTTCTTACAAACTTGTTTTTATTTTCTTCGAGAGACGGGATAACATAGCTCTTGCGGCGAACATTTATGCCTTTGAGTCTTAGGAATTTGTAGCTGGAATACAAAATAGTACGAAAACTTAAAGATCTTACGGAAGAGAAACGTGAAAGAAAAAAGAAAGTCAACGAAAACAAAATTGAAGTGATTGGTTTGACTAAATAGCTACGTAGACCGTGAATAAGTCTACTTCTTTCATGTTGGCAATTCCATTATAGTTCATTTCAGTTAAATTGATCACAGGAGCGTATATCCGAAGTTTTGAAGCTTATTTCAATTACTTTCGGGTCCTTACGCATTGACATTAATGCGCATGATGTCTTGGTATTTTCGTGTTGTAGTCTTTCCCTCGGTCTGCTGCGCGGGAATTTTGTACGACTTTGTAGGTTTTCTAAACATCGCTAATTACATGTAGCACAAGCTGTAGTGGATTACATGACAACAGCAAGTAGTGTTGAGAGAAGTACTTATACGAGATTAATGATGGAATAGAGACTATTCTCTTCAAAGTAATAGAAAATAGTAATCACTTTTTATTTACTGCGTATTTACTTACTGCTATATCTTTCCCGTCAATATTGTGTAAACCGCTAAATGGTTATGTTTTGTAATGAATCTTTTTTTGGATGCTGAAACAAAAATGCAAATTAGCACTAGTGCCACGATTTTACGTGTTCTTTTACCATTTACGCAAGTTTGAATGGATATTAGTTGATTTAAACTATCAAGTAACCAGAACGTTAGCTTTCAACAAACACACCAAAGTAAAAAGTATCGGAATCTACAGGTCGCGAACAATATGCAAATTTTACCATTCAACCAAAAAACTGCGATGTTTTTAAGCTCACAGGACTTTTTTCGCTTTTACTTTCGTCCATCATGATACATCTGTGTTCCTGAAATGTTTTCATTTGTTGCTGTAACGATTGCACTAAAAGCTTTTAAAATTCAGGTGCCGTTTTCGATATTTTGAAAAGTTTATTTTTACGCAAACTTTGGATCAAAATAACATCTCATAGGATCTTTTCATAGTGTTCGAGGTGCGGGGCAAAGTTTGTTCTATAGTTTTTACGTTATCCAGAGTTTTAGTTAGCAAAAAGGTGCCACAAAAGCACCATCATTCATAATACATTAGAGATAGTCTGGAGATTTGGGAAGTATTTTTATATGGATTTGCATGGTGTAATTTCGAGAGCACAACATTTTGAGCAATAATTTTCGTTCCGTGAAGAAATAGAAACGTAAAGATTGAACTGTTTTTTTATTATAAGAGAGGAGCATGCCTATAGGGGAGTGGTTAGAGGTCCCTTGCAATATACATAGGATCAATCCCGTTCCCCAGTATGACCAAGTCTTTCATCCTTAGGGATTGGCAAATTGGTAGCAGACTTCTCTGGGAGGATAGTAGCACTGACTCGATACATCGGTAGGCCACCGCGGGTCACCGTAAAGGCCAGGTTCGCATTCAATCACCCCCAAACGTTGCTTAGTGACATCGATTGTATGATGCATCTCTTAGGGATTGATCAACGCCGAGAGCTTTATCCTTTTTCAGAAGGCATTGTGCGGCGTAGCACAGCATTTTGGCGCGCGCATTTGCAGATGCTCTAGGGTTTTTCCTTTATTCAGTAGTTAGTTTTGGATCTTTTTTTTTCTGGTAGGTGGAGCAAGTTGTAGCTTTTCAGACACAAGCATGAATTCGAATCCGGTCGTACCTCTTCTGTTGGTAACGACATACTTGGTTTTGACGTACACGGCGAGGTAGTTAATAAACCTGATCCACACAATAACAAACTCGATTGGGTTCAGATAAGCAGGAAATGCAGCAAAGTTTGTTGTTTCTGACGTATTTTTATTTCTTTGCAAGGTGTTAATATTGCCAAGACATTTCGTATTATCAGGTTTTAATGAACTTTCTAGCTGATTACTTTTATTGACTTGGCCGGACACGAGAAGTACTTAAAAACTACGATATTTGGAATGACGGGGCATATGCCTGACTATACAATGCTTATGGTAGGTAATCTCTTTGTACGACTACCTCGTTTTGCGAGTTGTTTCATGTCTTCAATTAATTTGCATAAGTATGGTTCATAGGTTGGAGCAAATATGGGTATTATTGGGACTACGAAAGAGCACCTTTCACTTGCACTTTCACTCTCTGTTCCAGTGTTTATCGTCGTGAGTTCTGCATACTTGTGCGTACGTTTTGTCGCTGTTTTGTTTTGTCAAAAGTGGTCATATTGCAGGTCACCAAGATAGACATGTGTCCACCACAAATTTTGGAAGAAACGATGAAAAATATTGGCCGATTAGTTAAAAGTAATTGAGTTTTTTTTTAGTTTTTCTTGTCTCTTTATCAGATTGTATCCTTCTTAGGCGCTGGGGCTCGAAAACTTCCCGTAATGGTCCGTAATACAAATGATGTCATCCATGCGGCTGTAAATTTTCCGAGCAAACGGTCTGTTCGCGGTCATTTTATAAATTATGGCGTTATTATATCAGAGTTAGTTAACCCTTTCGCTATGAAGCTGGTTCTTGGATAGCCGACAATAACTTCGCCTTGAATATTTGGGGAGTTCAAAACCATCGATCCGTAGAAGGGAGTTTTCTCCCTCGCATTAATCGCATGCAGTATTTATAGTATCTTTCCAAATATGACTGTGTTTAGAGATAAAGTTTGTAAAGAACTAATAATGGAAACTCTTCGTATTTTTGTTGAGCAAACGCGAGGTGTTATTATTCCTTATTCACGAATAAGGTGACGTTTCGGCGGATTTCGCCTTCCTCAGAGCCGCTTTCTATGAGGTTTCCACTAAGTATGTCACGTAGAGACCAACCGCACAGAAATCACATGGAAATATAATGTCAAAAAAAGAAAAAAGTATAATAATAAAAATAGTAATAATAATAATAGTATAATGGAAGTATAATAATGGAAACATGCAGTACACTGAAGAACGCCATCGTGTCAAGATTAGCGGAATTCCGCCTTGTGCATTACTTTCACCTTCGAAGGACGCGCGTTGGAGGAACTAGTATATGTTATTAGCTCCAGAAAACCAGTACTGAATCTGGTGAAACATGGAAGTTCTATTTATGCCAATATTTTTGGTTTGTAACAGTTTTTATTTCGATTAATAAAACTTGTTATAGGGTAAGATATATTGATTTAACACTTAGGTTTCGATATGAATTGATTTCCACTCACGCGATCGGAAAATAACAACCGCTTTCAGCTTTAAACCTACTATATCTCAGCTCAGAAATGAACATGTTTAAATACAATGAAAAGTGCCACAATATGCAAATCTTTGCTTTCAGGGAAAACCCTTTTAACAATATGTATTCTTTCTTTGATGAGCTTACACGAGGTTGATAATGATGTCTATTTTCGGACATTATGACATTATTATATTAGACATTATACTTCCACGTGATTTCTGTGCGGTTGGTCTCTACGTGACATACTTAGTGGAAACTTCATAGAAAGCGGCTCTGAAGAAGGCGAAATCCGCCGAAACGTCAGCTTAATCGTGAACAAAGAATAGTAACACCTCGCGTTTGCTCAACAAAAATACGAAGAAAATACTTCATTGCGCACATCATGCAGAAGTCGGTGTTATCAGCTAGCACAAAGCGTAGTAATATTTCAGAAATAAATAAATAAAAATAAATAAAATAAAATAAAAAATAATAAATAAGCATCACTATCAACCTCGTGTAAGCTCATCAAAGAAAGAATACATATTGATTAGTGATACCAAGGTTCGGGGAAAGTCGGTTTCGAAATATTACTACCTTTTCACAATGTTGGCTTTTTATTTACTGCCTTTTACTAGCTTTTACGGCAGTGTATTATTTGTGAAACAACCACAATGATGCTGAGATATTTATAAAACTCCGGACCGCAAGTGTTTGCGGTGCGGAACGAATGCGCTATTGTCCTTTCCGGGGAGTAACGAGTTTTGCAAAAACTCTTTTGTTTTACCACGATAGCATGGTTTCTGGAGCTCACGAAGCCTATCTTGTGCACTTTTCCTTCGATGGTCGCATTTGGAAAAAGAAAGTAGTTGAACAATCGATATTTCATCCGTTAGAACACGGTTATCTCCCTAAATACAACGTTCTTGTTTATGGCTGATACGGTTTTGCTTGGAATGTGAGAAAGAAAATTCAATTTCGTTTTTTTTTGGGAAGTTTTATTTCTTTCTGTTTATTTGGGAATTAAATAACAGTCGTAATGAAGCGCACTTACTCTTAACTGTGCAGGACAAAGTCTCTTCTTTAAGCCAGTCACATTTTAAACTCCTCAAGTGTAATAGTTATTGAGAAATTAACAGTTTCCGAAAAACCAGCTGTGGTGCCTCCACACCAAACTTGTAAGTGGCCATTTTTCACGTCGTAGTACTCCTATAAAGGTCGAATCGTCGCGTGACTACTAATCTTTTCCTTTTTACACTGCATCGTTTAGGGTGTGTCCAATATTCCAAGTATCCAATGTTGAGGGAACAAATCTCGACCTCCTTCGACAGTTCCTAAACATTGTCCCGTTACGCCGAACTCTATGTGAACATGATCCTGCGCACTTCCAAGTTAGCTGAGCTTATTATCTGTCTCATTGTAAAGTATAACATTGTTTTCCGTTTTCAAAATGCATTTGAATTGTACCTGTCGACGAATCTTAACAGATTGACGACGTATATTGGGTAGAGGGAGTTGGAACGGTCGTTTCTGGGACTGTATTGGCAGGAAATATTAAAGTCGGCGATACACTTCTCCTTGGGCCGAATTCTGTTGGAGAATTTGTCCCATTGCCAGTGAAGTCCATTCATCGAAAACGCATGCCAGTTTCTAGTGTTCGATGTAGCCAGACCGCATCATTCGCACTAAGGTGAGTCACATATGATGCACTATTACTTTTAGAACATCAAGTAGCACGTGTTGAGAACTTTCGCATTTAGTCGTTGGAAGCCTTTTAAAAATGTGAAGAAAAGTCTGTGTTCTCGTTCAAAATAAACCTAATTAATTCCATATGTGCTAGCGTAGTATGGGCATGTGTTGTGCGGTGGTCGGAGGTGCGCTGCAGTACACATTGGATCGTTCCCAGCACCATAGGCTCACCAATCCTTCCATTACTCCGGGGTCGGCGACTCGGTACCGGGCTTATCTCGGAGGGTAGCGGTACTGGCTCCACACTTCGGTAGACCACCACGAGTCATTGTAAGGGCCAGATGTGCATTCAGTCACCTCCAACGATGCTTAATGAAGTCTAATGCATTTCGCATCCCTAAGGGATTGATTAACGTTGAGAGTTAGTTCCTTTATCCTTTATACTTATTCCGCGAAAAGTTTGAAAAGTTTACACTGTCTGAAAAAGTTATAATGAAGCATTTTCTGTCACTACTACTTTCTACAAGGTGGTTTGTAAATATGCTTTCAAAATAGTGAATATGACATAAGACGGGTTTAAATTGAGATCTCCTTCGTGTTCCTCTCTTTTGTTTGCACCATGTGCACTCTGTGGAAACCATTTCCTTATGCTTTTTTTTTAGAAAAATCACAAAACGTGAAGTAAGGAAAGGAATGGTCATGGTGGATCCTCGTTTAAACCCTGTTTCCAGCATGATGTTTGAAGCCGAGGTGTTTTTAGCATTTAACACTGATCTCCTTTGTTTTAGTGAGCCACATTACTTCTACCAAGAATGCCTTTTTAGATTTTGATATTGCATCATCCAACTACTATCAAGCCTAATTATCAGGCAATGTTGCATATTGGATCTATTAGGCAGACCGCGACACTGGTTAGCATGACAAAGGTATTACGTTGTCTTCAGTTGGTTTATCTACTTAGATATGCTTACAATGGTCCCATAAGATGGTGGAAACATTCTAGCAATAAACTACTAAAGAGCCGCTTATATGTTTAGTGTGTACTATTGGAAATCATTTATTTAAAGGCTCCACCACGTTTTCTAAGCTGTTCCAGAAGCCATTTCATTCTTTAGAATATTTTATTTGTACAAAGTCTATGTCGATAGAAGAGCCTTATTTTCACATTAATCCTTTAACTTAAGGTACTCAACGAGAGTAATGTTCTTAGTGCTAAGTAGTGATGGATGCTGAACTAAATTCTTGCTGAAATGATTGTATCTCCGCTAAGGAGAACTTCATGTTGTGCATACTTTTGGCTCTCAGCGGTTAATCATGAACAATATAATCAGAGTGCAAGGATTTCCCATATATCTTATATAGTTCTTAGACATCGTTTTTTACGATACACGTGGTGTTTATCAAGTTTCACTTATTGCTGTTACTCATGAATTCTGATCGTCGTTATCTGAAACGATGCGTGATTATAGGAAGTTTTGCGCACTGGAGATCGTGATCGTGTAACGTTCAGATTTATTCGTCTGCCTGAGTATATTCGAACAGGTTACTTTATATTTATACATATATATTTGAGTGGGATTTTTTCTCAAATCTCTGTAAGGGGATCTGTAATCTGTGTATCTCCCGACGGTTTACCGCCTCATAGTGCCTGGGAAGTTTTTAGGTGTTGGACTGCGGTGTGCAGCTGGGGATCCATCCTCCTGGCAGGGTCTCTCAAGCTGCGAAGGAGTCCAGCATTTCAGAAAGAAAGCCCAGCTAAGACTGAACCGGCACCAGGATCCACCACTGTCCTGGTATCAAACTAGTCGCATGGTGGCAAATCTCCCTCTGGTCTACAAGGGCGGCAACTGCCGTGATGGTGACGAGCTGGAGCAAACTTTGGCTAGACTGATTTTGGGACTCCAGGAAACCACAGTGGTTAAACTAGCAAAAGTCCGAAAAAATGGAAATTGTGCTGAGGCCAGTGCAACCAGTGAAGATGGGCCATCCAAGTGTAAATATATGTATTTCACAATTTTTCAACTCTTCTTAGCGGCAGGGAATGTTTCAAGATGTTAGAGTGTGGGGTACATGTTGTTCATGTGGCGCATTTCTCTAGGGTTAATCAGGCTGAAGGCTTGATGTTTTAGAGAGAGAGAGAGAAAAAAATAAGAACTTCTTATGATCCTTGATTGTGGACAACACTGATGAACTGGAATTACCGTGTTACTGTCACAATTTGTAGGGTATCTAGTGAGGAAAAAGAAACTTCTAAACTAGCGCGGTAGCAGTTGATGGATCAAATGCTGGGATCCGTAGACCTCTACGTTAATATGTGTGTTTATGCACTATAAAGGCTGGCAAGTGATCAAAAAACCGACACCAGTTCAACTGTGTGGATCACATATGGGCGGTAACCGTGATCATTAAACTCTGTTGGAAGTATTTCGTTGGAAGTTCTGTTGGAAGTATTTATTTATATGACCTTATTAACTGATCCTTTTAAGCTGATGCGATGTTGGTATAGGTTTTCGTTGTCGTTGTCGTTGATGGTGTTGTTGGTCTATGGCTGACGCTTCGGTGATTTCACCTTCCTCAGATCAGTGCTGTTACGTACAGGTAGGAGTCCCATATACGACAACGAAAAGCCGTACCAATCTCGCATCAGCTCAAAAAGATCACTTTATAAGGCCATATAAATGAATATATCAACAGTTTATGCCGAGGTTCATAGAAAGTCGGTCTTTTGAATCTGTTGTAAATGCCACATTTTTTTCATAGCGTTTGTTGAATTCGAAAAGACGTCTGATTGACTCAAAACGAACCCCATTATATTGCCACATGGTCTGAAAGTTGAACCGATTCCACCGAATAAACTTTAGACAGTGAAGCTACTTCATCGCTCCTTTAATAATTTTCCTGTAGGAAGGGAGTTTGATAGAGCGAGTTGGTGAGTGATTTTCCGATTAAGAAACCGCATCTTATATGTGCTCATTGAACGTAACAAATATAGAGAATATAAAGGGCGGCGGTGAGAAACTGAGGAGGAAAACAGTAAGGTTCTCGTTCGCGCCTTTTAAGAAAAATCACAGCAATTTATCAATCAAAAACTCTGTGGTCACCTTTTTCTCCTGAGGATTTTGGTATAATTTACTTTCAGCAGCAAACATCAACTGACACTTCAAATACTTTGGGACACCTCGCTCAAAAGAAATTTGAGAAATGTTTTATACAATATAAGTGGATAGTACAGCGTCAGTTCAGAATTCGAGGTTTACAACGTCGGAAAATATCCCTTTAGTGAGATGACTCATCGAATAAGGTTCCTGGTTCGTGGTTCACGCCAACTGCACTTAAAAGCAACTTGTGGACTATATTCGCTGAAGTTACCATTGTAGAACCAATTACATGAATTCCTTCGGCCGTGATCAGAAGAATGAGAAGAATTCGAATTCCTTGATATGGGACAATTTCTAAAGGTTGGCTATCTAAGTATTCATATTACTAAGTTAAATTTTATAGGCACTCGTATGGTGTTTCGCGAAGGACGTACGAAAGCCGTTGGAACAGTGGTGAATGTTATACCACAGACAACGCTAGCTCAACAAAGGGCAAAGCTTAAGGACAAAACCAACCGAACATGTATGTTTCGTAACGTTCTTTTCAGAGAGAAGTTTCGTTTTTAGTCTTTATTTTTATTTTCCTTCATTGAGTTTCTATGGACATTCTTTGAATGGTTTCTGCCGGACAAAAAGCACGTGGCAGTATGCAAAGCCAATGTTGTTAAGTTTGTGTTGCTCTTTGCAATACTGTCAAATTGGAGTCTTCCAGTTGTTAAACGTGGCGGGCCCAAGCCTCCTAACAGTAAACCAAAGGCGGTTGTAAAGGAACAGAATTGAAATCCACATTCAAATCGTCATGAAGAACGCGGAGGTAAACGCTGGCTGGTTGATCATTACCATAATCTCATGGAGTGATTAGATTTCTGTGGTAGTAATCTGCACACTTCCGTCGTATGACACGCAATCGATGATGGGAAAATATTAGAGCTCACTTCAAATGTCTCAATAATGTTTTATGGTTGAATTTACTTCTGTCGCTGGGATTTTTTTGCGTAAGGTAGCACTTTTTCGATTTTTCAGTAGTCTCTACATTGAAGGGTGAATACGTTGTAAAATTTGCGTGTAATTTAGACAATCTGGGCTACTTTAAATCAGCATGAAATTTTGTTATGAGTATCAATGTTGCTTATTTATGCTTATGCTTATGCTTTGAACACTTATTTCATGCTGGACATTTTTGGTGTTTTGATTTGGTGTCGGCCTCTTGAAGCTATAGAGATAAGATGTAGACATTTTCAACTCGTTATTACATATTTTGTGGTATTGGTTCATATGCTAATAGTTTATTGAAGCATCGGAATGCAGATTTGATTACAAATTAGTTTCCTTTCGGTGTAACGTTTATTAGGTTAGTATTCAATTCTATATCTTTCTATAAAAGGCAGAGCTTCATTTATTGGCCTAAATTAGTTTCTTCGAAGTTTCTCCAATGTTAATCCAAAGAGTTCTCTTGATTATTGTTGGTCTCGTTGTTTTAATCATCATATTGATGAGATGTTTATTTTTCAAATAAATCCATTTGTTTTTTAATGCGATTTTGTAATCGTTAGTGGTTCTCTGAGTATAGAGTGCGACATGAATCACCTAGCGTTGAACTGTATCGGTCTGCATTGTGGACAATACATATCGGCCTTAAATTACCGTATACAGAATGGTAAAATAAATATGTTCCATTCTATCGTTTTAGTTGGTGACGAAAGGAATGGAAAATTACAAATGACAAGATAAGTAATTTGTAGTTTGGTTAAACATGATGTAAGTGTATTCCAGAACGCAATCTTATGGCAAGATTTGGTACTGTTACTGATTATTTCCCGCATAATTTACTTAGATTGATATTCAAAAGATTTGCTTCACAGCCTGGTTGAAAAAAAGCATATCGAAACCATGACCCGAAAAAAAAGTTATAGAGCTGCCATGGAACTGTAAGTAGACGCTTTTTCCCAGGCGAAAAAACGACTTGCTAGTGGGAACTTTGCTGGAATTCCTGGAAAATTACGTACATGTATTTAGTTAGGAGATTATGTCAAATTCTTTTTTAATCCTGAAGGATTAAAAGGGACAAAAACTGTTCTTGTCAAGTTCTATTACTTGTGAACACTTTTGATCATTGCTGAAGTGGAGTGGTAATCGCTTATTTTTTTGGTATGTGGTGAGCGAAGCGAAGGGCAACATGTGGATATTTTTTTACACACGATGGGAAACCTGATTAGCCTAGGGCAGTATCGAACCATGGCGCTAAGCGTATTGAACGACATGACTTCCACAGCACGACCTCTGCACCAAAGTAGAATAGGGGTGGAAATATTATGGTTTCGATATACTGGATTTCTTCTAAAGGTATAGAAATTAACCGAAGAATTGATACACGTGAGCAATTAGGAAATGGGAGTTCCTCTAGCGAACATCATCTTTAGATAATGGTTAACTAGGATTCTGTGGTGGTAACGAAATAACGTTGATGACTAAGATCGAAAACGAGCCGGTTAATTTAGAGTCTTCTATGGGCGGACAATGGTCATCCAAAAGTTGGAGTCATATTGGTAATTTTTTCAAGTTTTTCACGAAAAAAAAATTTTTTTTATACAACCTGTCACATCTACGGCGCGGATCACAGCACTTCTCACGTTCGGTCCGTTTCCTCGCGTTTACTATTTTTTCGTTTTATCATTTATCATGGCGGCGTGTAGAGCAGTGGTTGGAGGCGCCCAGCAATACACATGGGATCGATCCCCGCACCCAAGGCTCACTAAGCCCTCCATCCCTCCGGGATCGACGAATTGCTAATAGACTTGTATGGGAGGATAGCAGCACTGGTACGTCGGTAACCTACCGCGAGCCATTATAAAGGCCAGGTATGCATCCAATAGCCACTAACGATGTTTAATGAATTCAAATGCATGGCGCATACTTCAGACATCGATAAATGCGGAAAGCTGTATCCTTTTTTAAGGTCTTCCAACTTTTACACGTGGCTTCGGTTGCTGCCTGAGGATTTTTTTCATCGTGAACGCCGCTGTGTTGGTTGGTGGAGTCGATTCTCGCTGGAGTTTTAGGACAGCCGGTTTAGAGCGTTTCCATTTGGATTGCAGAGAGCGATTTTTCCCAGACAAACTCGGTACCGATTTCCCGACCACGGAGGGATGAGAGGGTTGGTGAGTCCGGAATGGGATCGAACTGGCACCGTGCTCGTGGTGAACAGCATCACTACGAGTGTGCTAACCGTCCCTTCAGATTTTAGCTCTTTTTAGATTTTGCTTTCTACAGATATATAATACCGAAAGTATTGATGAACACCGTCGAACTTCTCGTAAATTTGGCTATCGAAAAGCATATTTGACAAATGTCTTATCTGACCTACCTAAATTAATGTGAGAATGAAATGTGTTCTACAAATGACAGTACTCCGTTCGTTCTATGCTTATTTATTAACATACTTATCTTACTACTGCACTCCTTGGTGGACACATACATCTCGTGCTTTCCACTCTTGAAAATGGTATAACAGTATTTTAGTGGGAAAAGAGAACAAAATCCGTCAAATATTCCAGTAGTTTATAGTTGAGCTGTTGCTTATCGGCACTGATTGATTACCAGTTATCTCGAAACTCCGCCTCCATGTCGGACCTTCCCCGCAGTTCGGATCACCCGCCCACACGAGTCGCCTACATCGTGGTGCTCAGATCGAAATGGTGGTAAGTGATCGCTACAGAATTTCTCCCACTTGGAATCTACTTTGTCACTTTTCTCGTATCACTACAGATTTTATAATTCATCACTATTATGATGAAAACATTAGGCCCTATTAGACCTTATCTATGAGTTCCCACTAAGATCGCTGGAGTGTATTCTTAACCATCGGATTTACTACGAACACAGCATAAATGTTGGAAATAAGTGCTTTCAAAATTAGGAAATTGCTATCACCTGCACTTCTTTTATGGTCTATAGAAGTTTATTACGAAAATATAGAGCGTAATCGAAGGTGTTTTTCCTCATGCCCTTTTGTGAATTGGAAACCAAAGCTCTTCACCAGAGCACAATTTCGAAGAAGAGATAACTTTTTTAATTTGGTCCGCCAAAATTTTTCGGTCTCTTAAGTTATCAGGTTACTACATAATATATTGCTATCGTCAACCATAGTCGCATTTTTGTTAACGTTTGACATTTTAGTACGGTAGCTTTCTGTTCCTTTCTTAAAAACTAAGGCGTTAGTCCTCTCATTATGATTTTGCTTGCGAAAGAGATTTTTTTCTTTTATCCTGCTTTTCTCATATTTCCCGTGCATCGCAGGTTTCAAGAGAGAGAGAGTGAAAGTGAGTTAAAAAAAACGACCTTAGCGTGTAGGTTACAACATTTAGCGCCGGTGTCAGCTTTAAGTGGAGTGACTTTGTTGATTTGCTTCCTCCTAGGATGAGATTCATTTGTTAATGTAGACATTGGAAAAAGGGCAAAAAAAGTACACCCACTGTTAGTGGTTAGGATGCCGTCCAGCAGTATGCACTTATTCATGTTCTACCACGATCCGAGCCAACGAGGCCTCCTATCTTTCTCAGGAAGTCAGGAAAGCTCTGTCCTTTCCAAATAGCTTGACCACTGCTTGTGGTGAAGATCTGGAACGTCCTAGCACGGCTATTCGAGAATTCTAGGGAGAGTCCATTCGAACAATATTCAAACACATTCGTGAGAAAGACCAAATTCTTAAACAGCAACCGAACCTACGCGTAAATCCGAAGACCGTGGATAACCGGCGCGAGAAATTGAATCGAGTGAAGGAATTGACGCAATCAGCATAGTAGATGACTTTGGATCATATAGGTAAGTGACAGATAAACCACTGTAATAATTTCACTGATTAAAAGGATGTCATTTGAACTTTAAACTTAATTGTAATTGAATATGGCGTTGAAGACTGGCTTTTTATGAAAATAATAGCACGAGGTATACTAGTGCTGCCAGGTGTTCGATTACAAATAACGCTTTGACGTAATAAAGCCCATATAATGGGAAAAACTTCAGTTATGATGATTCGTTATCATAAAAAATCTCTTGACATATCAGCTGAGATGAAATTAAGATGAATGTGGCACATGTCTACATTCCACGAATATTTTTTTCATGCCCAGTAGATGCTTCAATCACCTATTGACTATTTTCAGAACAAAAAAAACCATTTGTACACATCCGCACTTTAAATCCTTCAAGATCAAAACGTAGCCCACACGAGTTCGTTAGGAAATTTATTTGCCTGGAAGTACGTACTTAAATGCTTGGATAACCCGTCTTAACTGGTTGTGTGGACGCATTCTTGGGAGATTTGCTGGCCTAGCCATTCTGGCTGTCTAAAGTCCCGAGGTAAGATTAGTCGAAGCCTTCTTCAGGTCGTCACCACCTCATGCAGTCGCCACGCTTGTGGATCAGAGGGAGAATTGCCACCATGCCACCAGGTCTGAAATTTGGAATCGGGATTTTGAAATCCTGAAATTTAGTGATCTTAAGTGAGCAGCCTAATCTGATATGTATTATTCATGCCGAGGCTAAGTGATGGCTGGTTCTGAAGAAAAAGTGAAGTGAAAAGTATCCCTTCGATATCATTTTGAAATTATCGGCGCTTCTATTCGATTAGTTTGGAAATGGAGACGAATCGAATGCAAGAAATCCTGAGATCCATACAGTAAGTGTGAAACACCGGTCTTATAAAATAATTTTGTATCTCGTTGTTGCTTGAAAGACTTGTATCGATTTTTTTCGGTAACAGGAATTTTGCTTCATTCAATATATCATATCCGCTTTACCAATCTAAGCACCTCCTTGGAGAACTCGCTCCAAAAATTATTGGACTCATTGTATACATAAAGTAAATGTCGAAGAATGACGTATTTGGCATTGATTAACACTTTAAGATTGCGCCATGCATTAGATTCCATTCGTAGCATCGAAAAGACTAGTGAGTGCACATTTGGCTTGTATGATAAGTTATGTTCTGATGTATCGAGTCAGTGTTTTTTGTCCTTCTGGACAAATCTAGTGTCAATTTGTCCACCTCGGAAAGATGGATTACTCGGTTTTCTGCGGGATCGGACCAAGGACCATGTATGGCTTATAGGGCACCTCTAACCACTATGCTATACCCATTCCTTGCAGAGAATACATATGTCAAGCATTTTGCTAATGTAACTCTTCATCATCTATAAGTCTGCTAATATGAAGACTTTTCTAGAATGAGGAACTGATGCTTGTTTATTTCAATATTACACTTCGTGTAGGCACTGAAGTTCGAATCACGAAGGTCATAAAACCACAACGAAAAGAGATATTATGTTGACTTGCTTTTTGAGAAAAAAAAATTAAGAGAACATACGGAGGAAAACACCCTAGTGTTTTCTAAAGAATTTATCTGAAGAAACCATTTAGTACCTAAAATTTAAATTCAAGAAACAAATGTTTGTTCATCTGGTCCGTTCTTCTTAATAGGAGTATTGCTACAGTAATAATGTGAATCTCGCGCCAGAATTTGACATCGGAATTATGAGGGATGAAGCCGCTTGAATGGAAAAAATCCTAGGAGTGCTTTTGATAGAGTTTTGATTGGCATAGCACAGCTGTGCCAGGAATCCAGGGAGAATCTAATCGAGCGGCGTTAAACGACATTCAAGAAAGAAAGAAATCACTCAAGTATCAGCTAAACCATCTTAAAAACCGTTAGATCTTCATGAATAACAGATACAAAGAAAAAGCAGATTGAAAGAGGTACTGGGAACGGTAAAATACGGAGACATGGTTCATACAAATACATTCTTAAATAAGTGGAATGGATCTCCTAAGCAATTCTTCACAAATATAAGTCGTTCGGGAACTGAATTAGTTTATGAATTTCAGACGACATTCAAGTAACCCAGCATGCATTCCTCGTTTAATTGCTGAATTTCTTTGTTTTTTCTTTTGGTCTTTGTATTTCTTCGTAATGAATCACTGTAATACGCGCTTCTTTCTGCTGAGAAACGTGTTAGGAGAAAATTGGGAATGTTGTGACTAAGAGGATAAAGAGTATTGAGGCATCAATCAAGAGGAGGATGCCTTGACGAGACGTGGGCGCGGGATCGAACCAACAAGCAATCCAAGTTTATTATAGCTCTAACAAATGAGCTACACAAAACCTATTTTGTCCATGTTATGATAGAAAATTCCAGAAAACGTCAGGAAATAACGTGTTTTGTCCGACTTGACCTCACTAAGGCGTGAACTAAACTCATTTAACATCGGCATTCATCCAACCGTCACCTACAACGCGACGATAGAAAAAAGTAATAGGAGCAATTCCTAACATCTGGAATAACCCATTTATTGCCTGCTTCTATGTGATCGTTTATCGACTGGTCATTCCTATAACTAAATGTCTAGTACAAAGTAATCGTATTATTCCTAGGAATTTCTCTTAGGTTGAAGAAAAAAGCTCTAAAACCATCTAGTTCACCTCTATCACCGATCTTCCTCTTCATCGTCGACTGACTCGAGCGAGCGCCAGCAAATTTCCATTTCACCCTGTCGCGTGCAGGAATAGCCCAGCGGGTTCTGCTCGCTTTAAGGAGTCGTTGAGCGTCACACCTTTATTTTAGGATTTCGTGAAGAGCTCTGACCGTCAGGCCAGTTGACATCCCGAGAACCGCTTTAAAACCGCTTTAGTTTTCGATAGCTGTTAATTTATTTTCGACAAAAATTTATTTTTCAATTTTTCATCTTATCATTTTCGTGGTTTGACATCATTGCTGTGTCCCTCCATAAGTTTTCCGTCTACTTAGGGTAAGTTTATTTACATATTTTATGTACTTTTCTAAATGTAGGTTTCTCTACTCAATTCTCCTTATTTCTTTATAGACTAATTTAAGTCCAAAAGCTAGGGCTTATACTAGAAAACGTATCAATTAAAATATGATATAAATTTGGAGTAAGGAATTTAGTCAAAACACCTATTTGATTAAGCTAGCTGAGAGATAGGCGAGACGAAGGACACGCATGGTGTAGTGGTGAACGCGTTAGCCCTCGAAAAGGGCAGTAAAGTATTCGTTCCTCACCGCAGACACCTCTCGCCCGGAGTTTTGCAAATATCTCAACACCATTGTGGTTGTATTTTGCATAATACACTGTCATAAGAAAATTGCAGTAGGGAGAGAATAAAAATTTTGAAACCTACCGTCATTTAACCTCGGTGCTGTAATAATCAACATGTGTTCATATTGTTGAGCTTACACGAGGTTGGTAAAGGTGTTTGTTCGGCTAACGTTTCGAAGTCTTCGTCTTCATCAGAGCCGACGATCCTTGCCGATGGCTCACAGCTGTTCCTCTTCTCGATGTGGCGTCTTCATCTCTTATCGAACCGGACCTTCCGCAGTTATGCATCTCGAATCACCCATACTCAAACGGCGACGCTTTTTTATAGAAAATAAAAAGTTAACAAGCGAAATACAACCACAACGTTGCTGAGATATTTGCAAAACTCTGGACCGCAGGTGTCTATGGTGGGGAACGAACGCGCTATTATCCTTTCCGGGGAGTAACGCGTTCACCACCACACCATGCGAGTCCTTTGTTTCGCACGTCTCTCAGCTATTTCTATCGATCTTTTGGTTTGGTTGTATTTCGCTTAGTAACCTGCCATGAAAATTATAGAAGGCAGAAAACAAAACGTTAAACATTAAAAAGTTAACATTGTGATTTATTTGATTGTTCGTGCCAAATTCTTGTCGATTAAACAGCGTCAGTTGTTGTTAGTTAGAAATTGAATGGCGGTCATTGAACGAAAGCTCTTATTGTTTATAAAAATCATTACCTTTACGGATTCTTTGTCTTCTTTAAAAAAACGTGCGGATTCTAATTCATACACCCTGGTTCGACTATTTTAAGCAATATCTGTGAAAATTCAATTTAATCTTGTCAGCTGAGCACCTATAGTTTGAAAAGGGGCTGTCAGTAAAATGGATTATATCTATAAAGTAACTAAGGATAAAGAGTTTGTTGTTGATCGATTCCTGAAGAATGTGCTATGTATTCGACTCCATCAAGTATCGTAATGGTAATTGATTGCATGTTTTCTCTATACAACGACTTGCGGTGGCCTATCATTGCAACAAGTTAGCATTTTTCGTCCTAACAGGCTGGCACGGAGCTACTTTGCTAACCCTAAAGGAAGATGTTACGGTTTATACAGAGTATGGATTCGAACCAACAACCAGGTCCTTGTGTGGACTGCGCTACAATGTACCTTTCCATACGGCAAAGAAATTCACTGAGATGCCGCATCAATACAAGATGACACTATGTCTTATTTTCGTCGATATATGAGGATCTAAATAAAGTGAGAATCACTGGTGGGGAGTTAAAACATTCGTGCCTCCACGATAACATCCTTCTTATGAGATCAAACGCAGTTCATGCGGAATGAATGATGATGGATTACGGTAATGTATCTGGGAGGATTGGTCTTAAGCTTAACGCAAGGCGAACTATGTTGACGAGAAACTGATTTGTTGCTAATGGTTATGAATTCATGCTCATGAGAAGGGAGATCTCTGAATGGTCGATCTATGTATTTGTACTATGGTTCGGAAATCAAAATAAAAAAATGTAGTGACGAAGCTGGGCGGAGGTTAGTGAATGAATTAATCATACAACTACATCAAAGATGTAATAATAAGAAAGCCGAAAACATCTGCACTCAAAACTAATTCTTCCTCTCCACAGTTTCTCATGTATAACTGTGCACCTTGAAAGGCTAGATGTTAAGGAAATGGAGTTGAAGTCGTGCAGACGGCGTTGTCGATTGGTTATCGAGACAAGGAAGCTAGTATACACTGTAGTATGAAGTTTGGAAAGAAATTCTGGAATCCCTTTATTGAGAAAAACCTTTTCTAACCCATTTGAGTTGTTTTGCTTCTAAAGAATCAGACTTGCAGAGCACAAAACATTTTCGAGCTAATTTGGTAGCCAATTATACATTTTAGTTTCCTTACACCTTAGATTAAAAGCTACTCGGCTACAATATATCAAACCGGTTAACATTTTGAAGAAAACGGATGGTATCTTTTTTTACAGAGGAGGTCATGGAACCAAAATATTCTAAATGGTTTCGTGTAGCACCAATATTATTTGGAGTACACAAAATTAGAAGCGGAAAAGTTGACACATTTACTCGACATCTTGTTCGTAGTAACAGAAATGGTATTAAACAGCATTAATAAGATTTTAAGAAAACATAGGTCTTTCAGAAGGTCAGGTTTGATAAAGAGGAGTACGATGTTATGAAGAAGTTTGAACTTCGACATCATCCGGACATATGGAAATGGATTCTGGATAAGGCAAGTTCCCATGTTATCTTCATCAATTTCTTAGCAATTCCGTATAGATGGGAGATTGGATGGACCAACGAAGGTATTATATGCGTGTGTCTAACTGCTACGTTTCCCGAATTAACATGGCCGATGCGTGATCTTATCTACCAACAGTGGTGGTCCGTTCTAATGGTTTACATGAACTAATAGTAATGCACTTCTTTCAAGTCTTACAAACAACAAAGAGCATCATGAAATCCTGATGGCGGTTTATCTTGGTGGCATTTATCTCCATAGAAGCCATCCACCTATACGGCTCTGGTCGACCATAGGTGATCCAGTTCTCACCTCTAGTAACAATTTCTTCAAAAAATCTCTTCTCGGTGGAAGACTGAATCGCAGAAGCTGACAGGAATTAGTTTATAAGGCTTCCTCAGCGGACGAGAAAAATGTGGCCAGTAAATATTTCTATTACCGAATTTCTGTAGGCGACTGCCAATGACAAAAATTTATGAGGATGACATACCAACATACTCTTATGCAAAACTCGCTCACTATTTCTCGGCATATTTTTATAAGTACTTTTCCTGAAAGTCCTAGAACTTTTCAGGCCTAATAACGTATGCTTTTGCTTGAATGCGTGGAGTGAAGAAAACGACGGTTGAATTTATTATTTCAACGTGTTTTAGGTGGGAAGAAGTGAAAGTCTGGAAATCTTGGACGTCTCTGAGGAAGCGTGTGTTTTTGCGTTATCGCTAGCAGAAAAACATTCCAATAACCGGTAATTTTACATTCAGATTTGTAAAGACCTTAAAAAAACACGCTTACGAAATTTTAGCTTGGTGATTGCTTCACGAGGTGAAAAACCGGATTTCGACCTGCCCCCCAACGTCACCTATAAACGAGTCGATTTTCGAAAGGATTTCAACGATATTGATAATGTAAGTGCACACGGTACATTATCAGCTAAAGCGATCAGTCCTATAATTTCAACTACCGTAACCTTTCCATTATAAAAAATATTCAAAAAATAAAGAAGACATTATTAAACGATCAGTTCCAGAACATTTGTGCAGGTTTCCTTCTCAAGAAAGGTTAGGTAATGATTTCTGACAGGAAGAGAAGAAACGTTTAACACATGTTTTGGTCTGTTTAGCGTTAAAACATACTTATTTGATACTCGAATAACCCGTCCTCATTAGTTGCGCGGGCCCTAGCATAATCTCCATTTTTTCGAAGATTTGCTAGTTAAGCCATTGTCGTTCCCTGGAATCCCGAAGTCAGCTTGGCCAAAGTCTGTTCCAGGTCTTCACCACCACAGGCAGTCGCAGCTTTGGTGGATCAGAGGGAGATTTGACACCATGCGACTAATTTGATACCAGGACGGTGGTGGATCTTGGTATTGCTTTACTCTTAGCTAGGCTTCCTGATGGAAATGCCGGACTCCTTCTCAGATTAGGAAACCCTGCCAGTTGGATGAATACCCGCTGTACATCGCAGCCCGACACCCTGGAACATCTCCCAGCCAGGATGGGGCGGTAAACCGTTGAGATGGTTAAAAAACATATTTCTAATAATGAATTAAACATACTTTTAGCGTTTCTATTGCTGTCGTGGAAGCGACAGCACTCATAATCAACAACTAAATGTTCGTTTGTTGATTGTTCTAAATATGCTCTTGAAGAGAAAACAATGTAGAAATGAAATGGATGAATGAAATGAAATAGGTGAGGAGATTGTATGAAATAAGAGGCTGTCTGGTGAGAAAGGTTCTCATATCGATTGACAGACGCATAATGGTAGTGCTTAAGCTGAAATAACCGTTAGGATTCCACAACCAAAAAGTGGTTTCTTGTATCAACAGATGCTTCCACACTTGCACTGAGTACAATGCATTTGATGCTCAAATAGAAATCGCTGTTCCTCAGCTTAACTGGGCTCGTTGCCCATTTGGGCCCACCAGATCAATCCCACTGACGGGTGATTGCTGTGGCAAAGATCGATACAACTAGCTAAGAGACAGCCAAAACGAAGGACCCGCATGGTGTGGTGGTGAACGCGTTACTCCCCGGAGAGGACAATAGAGCGTTCGTTCCCCACCGTATACACCTGCGGTCCGGAGTTTTGCGAATATCTCAGCATCATTGAAAATACCATTAATGTTCGCGGATGCCGAACTTTCTTTGGTTGGACTCAAAAAACAACAAGATTTTGTTCTAAATTCTTTGAAATTTTAGATTATAATACTTAAAATTGAAAGAATGTTTGGTATTTTATTAAAACTGTATAAAGATTGTATGTACAATGAGGGTTTGGAAGCGCACGGGTAGTGTTGCTCGTCGAGAGCAACCCCGAACCAACGGAGCAGCTGGTTCGGATTCGGCCCGCCTCTCGCCCAAAAAACCCATCATACCTCTTCAGGGCCTGGAAGTTGGTAGGAAACTTGTCAGGAACCAGCTCATTCCTTGCGATCCACTTGTTGAACACCCTGGTACTGCCATTCTCAGGATTCTAGGAGTAATCGACTCGACCAGCATTCAACGGCATTCTCGAAGAGAACGAAATCGTCGTGCATCTGCTGAACTTACACGAAAGTCCGAAGAACATCATGGATGATGCATGTGAGGAGTTAAATGGACTGCAGGATGTGCTGGTTTCCGCACAACATTTGGTATTTGGTAGCTTAAAAAAAATATGTTCATTTAGGGTGATAGAGTAAAACTCTATCAGTATAAATGACCATAATTTTTCTCACTAAATCTTTTCTAAATCTGTGACATTCGTGACTCCTCATTTTCTCCAATAATCTAAAAGTTGTCGTCAGTTATCGAAAAATCAGTTCTCGGGAATTATGTTTACTAAATTGCCGTGCGTGGTCTCTAAATGTAAGGGCATTTACGATGACATGACGTTTTCGTTCTTCTGGGCGAAATCAAGCCAACAACTGTGGAAATCATCAATTTAGTTACAGCACTGTTATAGAGCGTATGGCGCAATGGTCGGAGGCGCCCTGCAACAGACACGTGGAATCGATCCCCGTGCCCATGGCCCAGCAAGCCTTCCATCCCTCCGGGGTCGGCAAATTTGCACCGAACTTGTCTGGGAGCATAGCAGCACTGGTTCGATACATCGGTAGGCCACCGCAAGTCATTGTAAAAACCAGCTATGCATTCAGTCACCTCCAATGATGCTTAATGAGGTCGAATGCATGGCGCATCCCTCAGGGATTGATCAACGCGGAGAGCTTTATTCCCTTTATTCTTTTACGAGTATTGTGAAAAAATTGTGAAAAGTCTAACATATTGCAATTTTAGATTGGTATGTTTGACGTCATCATTTTCAATGAAGTCACTAATGAGATCTCTGATTTGGGTGGATTCTTCAAAAAGCTTGCATTACTCCTTAAAGGTAATGAGTTATTACGACACTTGCATTTATACTCAAAGATTCATAATCTCAACCGCAAACAGAAAATGAGAACCACTTAATATTAAGCCGCCAACCAGAAAATGGTACACGCATACGATTACGTGCGTGAAACACAATGATATAACACGAAGTACTCGTATTGATCGAATCGCCGCCCAGATCAATGCGCACGTAATAGGCTCAGTTGTCGCTGAGCATTCCTACCTAGTCTGTTAGAGGAACTTCGTTAAATCGCTAAAAGTTCTTTGATGTTGTATTAAAACTATTTGTGTACAATAGAGTGCAGGCAGAATTTCGCTCAAAATTGTATACTTAGTGATATTTCTTTTAGACAATGCTCCTATTATCGTCTTATCGAGGCCAAAAAATCCACCACTTCCCATGCCAGAGTGCTGTCACCTACTATGGCGAAAATTAGCACCAACTCGGGATGAGCTAATAAGCCACGTTAAAGCTGTATGTAAATACGTTGCAGAAGCTCTATACCTTTGTCCAATTGGATATTTTTTAGTCGGTTATATAACACAACATTTAAATGGTAATTTGACCTGTGATGTATGACAGCGTTCACTACTCAATCTTCCAATGTCATACTGAGCAGTTGCGCATTCCCATTCACAAACGCTAGTTTCACTAGAAAGCTCTCTCGATTCAATAAGATCCTGCAGATGTCTACCGTAATGATTCGAGAGTGATCTGGTGGCCTAGTATTGCTTACTCGACACTAGGAATGAAAGTCCTTCCCAACCAAAGCATCATAGAAGAAAAATTGAAAATATGTTGAGTTCCAATTGAAACTCTATTCATTGTCTGCTATTTTTCACCTTCGTTCAGCTACAATACATCATCGGATTTAGGCTAATCTGAACCACACTTGCTTTTCGGCCTCCGTACCTGTCACAGTTGATCGATTGGAATGGGAGAAAATTCTCTATTCAGGTACATATGACATTTTAAAAAGAGTTAAAATACCTTATCATTCCTAAGTATGACTTTACAATAACCTCGACTTCTATTACTTAATCAATTATTCGTTCATTACTTGATAAGCTAACACGATGTTGTTACTTTATTCTCTGTTCACAAACGAGCTGACGTTTCGGCGGACTTCGCCTTCTTCATGGCTTCGAAACATCAAGTTAACTGGAATCTAGTCGACAATAAAGCTAAAAACGATAAAGCTCTCGTCGTTGATCAATCTCTGAGGGATGCGCCATGCCTTCGACTTCATTAAGCATCGTTGGAGGTGAGTGAATGTTGGCCTTTACAATGACTCACGGTGGCCTACCGATGTATCGAGCTAGTGCTCCTATCCTCCTAGACAAGTCTGGTACCAATCTGGAAACCTCTGAAGGATGGAAGGCTTGGTGGGCCATGGGCGCGAGATCGATTCCACGTGTCTGGCAAGGTTTCAATCGCACTGAAAACAAAATAGCTTCTTCGCACACTCACTGCTTTCTACGAGTCCTTACTCAGCTAACTACTTCACGAAAAGAACAAATGTACAGAGTTCACATGGATGGGTAATGTGCCTCTCTCACATTAAAATATCAGTCTTAATCACTATATGAAATCATGGGTGATAACGAGGCATACCTTCCTATGGTTTGTTTATGGATTTCTGGAATTTATATAATACGCTTCAAGACCTGTACGAGCTGGTGTTTTGGATACCTGTGCGAAAACAGTGGTTTTTACTTCAAAGTCTTCTCAGTTATGTCTCTGTATCCTTATAGGCGCCTAGTGGAGTATTTGATTCAACTTTAATTTCATAGACAAGGCGTAAGAACCTGCGGTGGTCTACCTGTTTAGCTAAGCTATCTGTTACCGTAGGCCTCACAAGAAATCAAGTGCACGGAACCCCCACTCGTGGAAGCTCAACTCAACTCAACTCAGCTCAAACTCATAGAATAAGGTGAATGTGTGAAGAAACTATTGCAATGCGATAGAAATTTAGAATTGTGGCTTTTTTGCCATGGTTACCAAGGTATTTGACTGACCAGATTGCATTCAGCTTGACGTTTCCAAGCTCTGAACAACAGGCCATCTACGAATTCCTTATACAACGCGAAGGAGCAATAACCATGAATGGCTTCACGATACAGCAGTTAATCACGTTCTTATAGGAGTGTCTAAACTGCTTGATCTTTAGATGGTCTAGAAAGTATTACGCACAATGAGACGGTTGGCAATGGGGCAGTGACTAGTACGAAGCTTTGCCACTGCATTTATATCTAAGATGGAAACATCAGTAGACGAACTCCGGCCATTACTATACTGCGGATACATAGATGTTTGCATGATTTGCCCCACACAACAGGAAATGGACAAATGTTTTGAGTTGCTTAATGAACACTCAAAGCACGTTATGTTTGACCAAAAGAAACTGAAAGAAACTGGCTTCCATCTTTTAACGTTCAAATTAACCCATCCGAAAACGGATACACCAAGAAGTGGTACCGAAATCCAAGTAATAAAAACGTATTTGTTCATTACCTCTCTTCTCACCCTTCACACACTACAAAGGCGCTTACAAAGAACATGTCTCGAACAGCCAGCAACGTATGCAGAGGAAGAGTGCAGGAGGAATCCTTGGAATTGGCGCGGCAGATAGCCATTTCAAATGGCCACGAAACTGTTATTCCTCTATAGGTGTAGAGGAAAACCAAAGCCACCAAACGATAATTCTAGCGATAATAAGGCCCCTTTTATCTTGCATTTCACTTCAAACGTAGAGCTAGAAAACGTTGCTTAAGAAAGGCTGGTTTAGAGAATTGGGTAACAGTAATTGTAATACCACCGAGCACTCTATGACGCCAGCTAGTTCGCAACTGCCTGTATGACTGTTTATGCACAACGTAAAACTGATTAATTTGTTCCAAGGATCTCTAGTAAAGCATGCGAGGACCATATATTGGCGAATTGGGGAGTTCACGATGTGTCACTATGTAAAATAACACCTAAACGGAAACCGTAGAGCTTAAAACTACTCAACTAGGAGCGCATGACACGCAAAAAATAACGGAGAAGATTTTGAAGTGGAAGTCACCATCCTCGCACAGGAATCTAAAATTCCAGCATCCAAGAGTGAGCCACAGGTAGGAATGCCTCATTAGCAGGCGGGATATCACATAACAGTTGAGAATTACGTTCTAGTGTGAGAGTGGGTCACTACCCTTCCATGTTAGATCTTCACGATTGGTCTCCACATAGAGTAGTCAGTGCAAAACTCATACAAAACGGTGAGTGTGTGAAAATGATGTTTTGCAGCTAATGCGATTGAAAATTAGTGTCGTGGTGTTTTTACTGGCGTTTTGGAGGTGTTTTGCCCACTAGGTTGCGAGTAACTTAATATCTCCAGGCTCTGGAGAGGGCGAAATCCAGTGAAACGACGGCTGTTCTGAGTAAATAATATATAATGACAATTTCGTCGTAGCCAATCCTATGGCTCTTCTTGCGCGCATGGTCAAGTCCTCTGCCGAGGACTGAGATGGAAATGTGGGCGCATTCTAGGTACAGATCGACATTTTAGTCCTATGCGATTTAGGAAGCCTGGAATGGCGCTGAAATTTTAGTAGCCTTTCCGCACTCGTCCTATATAAGGCTGCCGTATCGGGGTTCTTTCGGGACCAGAGAAATGAGGCGCCTTTATTTTAGTGTTGAGCATTTAACACCTAAACACAGTTTGCTGAGCTCTGAATGTGAGGCTGGGTATAGTCACTGGTAGCTTGCTAGTCTCTCCCAGAGTAGACGTGGGGCTTAATTCTTGGAGGCGGCTCCTAACCGAATCCCATATACCTTGTCACTTCATTGCAGGCTTCTCGCGGAATTCATTCGTAGAGTACAATACGCATAAACAAGAACACACCCACGCAAGCACGCATGAATACTCCCTCGCTCTACCACTCGCATCCACGTTTCACGGAAACAAAAGTCGCTTCTAGTCCGCATTAAGCCTCTATCCGCCACCTAGGAAGGCAGCACGGCACGGCGTTGTCTCGCGAACGACCAACATGAGATCCCTCTATGAAGAAGATCCGTGGAGAAGACTCCATCCATTCAACGCCGCCTAAGAAACCGAAGAAGAATTGTTCCTCCAAACATACGACAGTGGTGTCAGCGGCGTCGGGGTTTTCGTTAACACAAGTTTGGTTATGAACATCGATTCACCGAACATCTAACAACCCGAATCGGTCGTTTACGGTTGAAGAGATGTGTACCTATACGGCTTTGACAATCTTCGTCGCCTGTGAACGGACTTCAGACTATAACGAAGACGAAGTCGAAAAGTTCTATATGGACTTGGAAAGTTTCTACAAAGAACACCACACATTCTTTAAGGTCACCATTGGAGATTTTTACGCTAAGATTGGATCCAGAAAAACGCTTGAAGAACGTTACATTGGGACCAACGGTTTCATATGGAACGGGCAGGGTGAAGGTTCCCTGAATTTATCATGATGACCAAGACCATTCATGGTAATCCACAATCGCGGAAGCCCCACTCTCAACGTTGGACGTGGGAGTCTTCTAATGTTGAGTACCATAACGAAATAGACCGCATCATAGTATATCGAAGGTTTTCTCTTACCGATGTTGCTACTGTCCCAAAATTCTACACGGGAGCAGACCATCGTCTCATTTGTGCAAGATTTCACTTCTCGTGGAAAGGAGAAAATGCCACTAAATTAAAAAGAAACGAAGTCCCAAAAGCATTATAAACTGGGATTCATTGGGTTCATTAGACAGCTGTAGGGAAGATGCCATCCTTAATAACATCGACGAGGAATACGATCGTCTCATTCATCACGTTAGCGCTGTTAAAGCTGGTAATTCGAAAATCACCCAGAGATGTCTGTCTCTGGAAACACCAGAGTTGATACGTCAACGTGGAATCGCACAAGCTACCTGCAACTATCAACTGACGTTCGAACTTGCAAAACAATGCAGAGAAGCGATAGAAGTTCTTAAAGCGAGAAGGGTAGCACTTATGGCCGAATCTGCAAAGACTACAAAGCTTATTTACTTACTTGATACTTGAATGGCCCGTCCTCACTGGTTGTGCAAGTTCCAGCATAATCTCCATTTTTCCGAGATTTGCTGGCTAAGCCATTATGGTTCCCTGGAGGCCCGAGGTAAGTCTGGCCAAAGTCTGCCTCAGGTCTTCACCACCACGGGCAGTCGCAGCCCTTGTGGATCAGAGGGAGATTTACCACCAGGCGACTTTGTTACCAGGACGGTGGTGGATCGTGGTATTGGAGACTACAAAAACCATTCGCAAAGCTCACTGAAGTTTCGCCAATCACAAAATCATTATGATCGCACTCCGACGCCGATACGAAACAGTCGCAGCTTCCAGAAAGTCAATGGAAAAATCATTCATGATTACTCATCGGATCTGTTCAGTAGCCACATTCGCTTCATACGAAGGAAAGGAAATGGATATATCGTTCAACAGCTTCTCCTTTCGGAAATCCGACCTTCTATTTCACCGGTTAAGAATCGAGCAACGCGTGGCCCTGACAGGATAAGATCTGAACACTTGAATAACCTTCCGCCAGTCGTCAAAAACACACTGGCACAGCTCCTCACGCGTTAATTTTCACAACGCATGGTCCCTATTCAAAGGAAGACCAGTAAGACGGTGTTATTGATCAACAAGGATGACAATCACGGCATCGGCAACTAACGCCCAGTCTGCTTGCCGTCTGTCGTCTGCAAAGTCTTCACACGAGTCATCCCAAACAGGACTGACGAGACGCTGAACGTAGGAAAACCATGTGAGCAAGGAATGTTTTGCAAAGGATTCAATGTGAAAAGAAAGGTGAGCCACATCCTCACAATAACAAGACTCATTGAAGTATCGCGAGAATACAAGAGCGGCTCTTTCTCACTTTCATTACCATCTCTCCAAAATTATTTTCCACCACCCTCGAGAAGTCATTGCGAACATTGGAATGAGACAACATGGGAGTGAAAATCAAGGGTCGAAAATTACACGATCTTCGCTTTGCTCATAACACCCTTCTTATAACACCAAGCATCAGCCAAACGTAACGAATGGTAGCCGACTTTGATAACACTTTGGATAGATTAGGCTTTGATGAAACATCAGAAAAACCATGTTCATGAAGAACGGACTAGTTCCCCCATTCACACGCAACAGAACGAATACCTTCGAATGCTCCAGCTCTCTAGGTTGGAAAATCAACATGACGAAGCACTGAGCTCCAAATATGAGCACGAAAAAGCGAGAGCGAGTGGCTTGGCTGGAGAGCTCTGAAGAGGACTGAAGATAAAGCGAAGAGAACAAAAAAAACCTTACTCCACACCCGCCTTCTCGGCTCCACGATTACTACTGCTTTGAGGTATGCATCATAAACCTGGTGGCCGCGTAAGTAGGATGAGAGATTACTCAGCGTTACAGAACTTGTAGTCGAAAGGACGATGCTAGGACTCTCCTGCTTCACACAAGTGAGAGAAAGGATTCGAATTCCTAATGTGCATCAACGATCAAAAATCAAAGATGCTGTTCGATACGCCAAACAGTCGAGGATAAGGTGAGCGGGACATGTAATGCGTACGAACGACCAACCGATGGACAAGAGCCGCTAGCAAATGGATTGCTCGGGACATGAAGCGTAAAGCAGGAAGACCACCGACGCGATGGTCAAAGTTCCTCACAAAGACCCTAAAAGAAAGGAATGATAGTCACAGTCACCGAGTCCTTGGAGAAATCAAAACCCACTGAACTACTCTGGCACGCGAAAAGGAGAAGTGATTCGAGTCGATCAGCGATCAACGGCACGTCAGGTGATATTGGTGAACAAACTCGTGTGTGCTTATCAAGAAAATGAGGACTTATTTATTAATACCATTTTATACAAATAGATCGATACGCAGTTATAATAAAACTAAAGTTAGAGTAGTTAAAGTGAACATTAAGAATACTAGAAAAAATAAGCCTTTGGGTATTTCTGCTAATATAGTGTCATTAAGAAAAACAGTCAGTGGAAAGGAATTTTCGGATGGCAGTCATTTCAGTTAATCAGATTTCCATGAGATCTTACTGAATACACCATAACTGATGATAACACTGGATTAAACAGAATCAGATAGGAGGTGATACATAGTAGAAAGGAAAAGGCGTTAGAAACCAATAGATCTTTTAAGAATTTCTCACGCTTCCGGTTGTATTATCGTAGAGGTTGAAGTCATATTTCTCCTAACCAAGGGCTTGAGGAAATATTAATTTACAAGTCAGTGTACTCGTTCTCATAGAGAAGACCGGTATTAATCTGCCTACCCAGGATAGATGGGATGTTTGGTTGTATATGGACCCTGAATTGAACCAACTACCTTGTGTTTATTTAAAGCACACTTAACTACTGCGGTATAAGAACCTTAATACAATAAAGAGAAAAACAATTTGTTTCATCTTCGAACAAAGTCTTTAGGCGTCTTCATTCTACCACTTTACTCAGCTTAATTCCAGGTTGTTTTCCTGCCGTGAAGAATACAGCTAAGTGCACAGAAAAGGAGATACGAGATTACTGTAATCGTATATCCGGAAAAGTTGCGTTTGAAGAGAAATTGAACATTTTCCTTCTCAAAAAGCAATAATGACGATATCCAACGTTATGCCTTAAACGTGTGTATTCTATGAATTGACGATGTTAACAGAAAATCCATTGAGGTTAGCACTGTTTCTATAAAATTTCTATTTGTTTTTGTACTTTGTATTGAAAAGAACTAAACCTCCCCTTGTGTTATGATGTTACAGTGACTTCGGAAACATAAATAAGAAAACAAATAGATGAATTAAATCAAAAATAAAATGGGATAGAATGGAACAGGATGGAACGGAAATAGTAAAAGTATGATTATATCTGAAAAAAAAAAACCGACAAGGATGATTACTGAGCAAAGTAGTGAGGATATGACTCATTTCTGACTCACAAGTGGTGAAAAAGACCTATTTTTCCATATTTCAGCGCATACTAAACTTTACAGGTTGGTATGGTGATTATTAGAATCTGAAGGACCTTAGCAATAATAAAACTCATTCCACGGCGATTGGATACTAACTACATAACTCGTATGAAATGCTGAGATATTTGCAAAACTCCGGACCGCAGGTGTGTGCAGTGGAGAACGAACACGCGCTGTTGTCCTTACCGGGGAGCAGCGCACTTCACCACCACACCATCCGGGTCCTTCAAGTTATATTTCGCAACATACCCTGCCGTTAAGAAGAAAAAGGCAGTAAATAAAAAGGGTTAAGACTAACTACATAGCCTAAAATTTGAAAATGAAATCAAATTTAAACAAATTCAAGACGAAACCGGCACTAAACAGCCTACTATCCTTAGCCCAATAAGGCAGAGTCCACAAGAAATAGTTCTCAAAATCTCAGGCACTTAACTGCTCCAGTTATCAAAAATTTCCCGATAGTTGCCGGAAAACCAGTGTCACCAAAACTGGAGTATTTTAAGTACTGCAGTATTGTATGGATAGATGGATAGAATCTGACGTCTACATCCGGAAGCACAGCTAAGAATAAATTAACGTCGGGAATCACCACCGTCCTGGTATTAAATTAATCGCAGAGTGGCAAATCTCCCTCTCATCCACAAAGGCGGCTACCGCCTGGGGTGGTGACGACGTGAGGAAAGCTTCGGTCAGGCTTGCGTTGGGACTTCATGAAACCACAACGGTGAAACTAACAAACATCTGATCTCAGTACACCGCGCACTGGACACACCCGTTTACGACGTCGGGTGGTGGGAGAACCGGTGAGAAGCGATCAAATCTCGGGTTGCATAAGAGGTCATAGGAAACAGAAAAAAACGAGCACGCCCACGACACGCCATAGACGTTGCTTCTTGCTCTGCACCTACAACACCAGAACAGTCTCTTCAAACACCGACCTTTAAGCTCTTCTTGAGGCCATTGCAATTAGATGGCAAACCCCTGTCGTTTGCGGAGGGAAGTTTCCGTTACTAAATGTCGGAGGCGTTGGCTTTGTCGTACCTCCATCTATTCCCATCTGGTCATCTCATACCAAAACCTAACCCCGTTCCTGCCCATTCCTCGTCTCCAACTTGTGTGTTAAAAAAAGTCAGTATCTCAACTGTTATTCACCAACTTCTAAGCTGATGAGAGCGAAATGGTTTCAAAACGCGTTTCACAGCCAGTTGGAAGAAATAATATTCAGCGAAAAGTCCTTCTATAAATTCGTTGTTGAAGACTTCAACGCCAAATTATGAACAGTCAACGAAACGAAATGAGGACGGAAACCGCCTTGCAGGATTCCCGTCCGCAGCACATTGCATCCATGTTAATTCATTTTCGAGAAGAGAGAAAATTGCCAATGGACATGGGAGTCTCCTAACGGCATGACTCAGGTGGAGGTCGATCATATTCTCCCGACTATAAAATGGTGTCTCTTTGACACCTCGATGACAGCTGGATTGTGTAGTGGATATGATCACTGCCTTCTCCATGGGAAGAATCGATTCTGTCATAACCTAGAACTCTTGCCTAGAAAAACGAAACAACTCGTATATGACGAGGATATTCTCAATAAAATCCTGTTCTCATCTGACTGGCAGATAAACGAAGACGCGACCGACGACTACAAGCTGCTCATAGAAAGGACTTAAAACTTGTGCTGAACACGCCTTAGTTTTTTAAATAAGGCAAAGCATGAGGAGAGACATAGCTCCACGACTCTAACATCACCGCCGATTTCATTTCAGCTAGTGGCCACACAATAAATGTACTTCTCGCAGCCCACATGATATAACCTTAAGAAAGAGAAATTCCTAGACCAGTGGAGGGCCTAGCACACGGTCATCGTACCGAAGAAGGGTGACCGAAGAGGTCTTCGTAACTGCCGTCCAATATGTTTGTTGATACTCTATAAGCTTTTCAAGATGATTATCCTTTTGCGCATATTGAAAGTTTTTAATGAGGCACAACCTTTGGAACAGGCAGGATTCCCATTGGGGTTCTGCTGCGTGGACAACGTCAAAACCGGGTCCAGGGTCATGGAATTCAGTCGGTAGTACCATGTACCCCTTGTCCCAAGCACGTCTACTACAAAAAAGCATTTGACAGCGTCGAAACGAAAGTAATCCTCTCAGCGCTCGTCGACCAAATAGTGGGCCCGTACTATACACGAACACTAGCAAACTGCTATAGGAACTGCAGCACAAATACACAGCTTTTCGATCGACCCCTAACTACACCCATAGGAAAGGGGGTTAGACGAGGCGACATAATATCGCCAAAGCTGTTTACTGCCTCATTGCAGTGGATAATGAAATCACTCGATTGGGACAAAAAAGGCATATGTATTGATGAAAAATTCGTCTCTTCTTCGAAAATCCTCGTTTTTCAGACGACATGGCAATTTTTTTAAGTATGCACGAAGCGTAGACGATGATGATTCAGATTAACTAAGGTTCAAAAAAGCGGAAAGAAGGATCGGAGTAGGGATAAATCAACGGAAGACCTAGTTAATGAAAAATCCATGATGTAAAGGTGAACAGATCAAACTGGATGATATTCTTATTATAGAGACATGTACCTTGGCATTCAATGAGCATAGAAAACAACATGAAGGAGGAATTAGAAAGGAGATCAGCCTGGACCGCATTCGGGCCTTCCAAAGAAGCCACTAACCAGCTAATGGACCTGAAAAGCTGCGCTCACCTTCTCGGTACGACAGTCCTCCCAGAGCGCTGTTACGCTGCAGAGACTTGGACTGATACTTCGATCACGTAAGGAAATCTGCGCACCACCTAGAGCGCTTGAACGATGTCCTCTGAAATTTAACAGGCACTCACAACGTACAGCCGAAATGAGCAGCCCAGATCTTTGAAGCATACCCCATGGGCGGGCATCCAAGCATTCAAGTAAGTAAATGATATTCTATGGCCCATTGTCATATATTGCACGACCTCCTGAATATCGTTCGCTGGTTTGATTACCATTCATATTGTGGTGCTATTTTATTTGCTCGTCTACAGCTTCACTTTAAGGCACCTAGTCCGTAAACGATAAATTCATTGCAAAACTACTTTGCTTCATTTCATTCATTCGTTCACTTCCCATGAAACAAATCCTGGCAACATCGTCCGCAAAGAAACGACATCCTTTGGTATTCAGCAACGCATTTAAACTGAATTTTGTCACCATATTATTCACTCGTAACGCAGGGGTGAGAGGTGTTCTGCAATGCATAGGTGGCCCTTGGTTCATCGGGTTAATCAAACCTTTCGTACCTCCAGGACCTACAATTGGTACCAAACTTCTCTTCGAGTATAGCAGCACTGATTTAATAGATAGGTAGACCACCGCGAGCCACTGCATTGGTCAGATATGCATTCAGCCACCTCGAACAATGCTCGATGAAGTCGGATGCTTGGTGTACTCCTCAGTGATTGGTCAACATCGAACCCTTTATTCTTTTACAGCTTTACTCGTGCTGTTTTATGTCGAAGATGACTAAGACAACCGTTACAAATCCGATTAGCGTTTGTGATTATGATAGGTATCTCATCCATCAAATCCTTCCACAATCCTCATGCGTATCTGGATCACCGTAAAAGAGCTATAAATGGGTCTTCAATTGGCTTTTACTCTGAAAAACTGTCGCCATTTGCGATGATTGAACAATCGACGCCGATCAATTGCCTTCAGAAAGAAGAAGGGTTCAATACTGGATGTGAATCAAGACATCTAATACACATTGTTCAGTGCTATGCTACTGAACCAATCACCTCCGAATTTGAACTAATACTTGCATTACAAAACGCTCGTGTTACCTGTAAATGTAACCTGTAAATTACTTGCAAATCAGCTAGATGAAAGGATAAAAGGATAAAGCTCTCGGCGTTGATCAATCCCTGTGGAATGCACCATGCATTCGACTTTCATTAAGCATCGTTGACTCTCGGTGGCCTACCGATGTATCGAGCCAGAGCTGCTATCCTCCCAGACAATCTGGTACCAATTTGCCGACCCCGGAGGGATGGAGGGCCTGGTGGGCCATGGGCTCGGGGATCAATTCCACGTGTGTCGCAGTGGCGCCTCCAACCACTGCGCCACGCGCGCCCCTCAGGTAGACACAGAAGGAATTCAAAAGACTCTAGTACTTTCACCATTCGTAATTTTCACTAAGTTTTGCTGTATAGTGAAGTCTAGTTACTCGATAGACATGAACAGTACATTTTTCGTATGGGGCCCTTCATTTCCACTGCTTTTCACGAGCGCTCTCCGGTACCTAATCAGGCTCATCCAGAGTACACGTGGGACTTTATTCACCAGACCCGACAGCAACCAATCTAAACCCACGTTATTATAAAGCACGATGGTTCGACAACCTCAGATAACAACACTCTTCTAAGTGCTCCACTGAAGTAGATTCGGCTCGATATGACGATGAAGATACCAAGTAGAGTAAACGAACAACTGTGGACCATCGACTTGGATCGCCGGCTTTGAGCAAGTCAAAGACGTCGAAATGTTAGCCGAACGTTTGGCAACAACCTTGCCTTAGCTTATGAATGAAACAATGTACACTGATCACCCATATCGAGGTTGAACGAAAGTCAGTTTGCAATAGTAGTAGCCTTCCAAAAGTTAAACGAACTGCATAATTGAATGAAAACTAGTGAAACGGCGTTTAAGCACTACTGTCTGTTAAACTAATCGAGGGCCTACCAAGGAGATAGACGAACAGTCTAGTCGAATCCACAGCATAACAGCCACAATGATGCCCAGATATTTGCAAAACTCCGGACCGCAGGTGTCTGCGGTGGGATCGAACACGTTACTACCCTTTCCGAGGGCTAACGCGTTCACCACCATAACATAATACTTCCTAAGATGACTAACTTAGTGATTTAGAATAAAGGACACCCGTCTCAGCGACTCCCTAGATAGATACAGACATATGTATTCTTTCTTGATAAGCTTGCACGAGGTTGATAAATATATTTATTTTCGGCTAACGCTTCGACGTCTTCGTCTTCCTCAGAGCCGGTGATCCGAGTCGATGGTCCATGCTTGTTATTCGCCTCGACGTTGCGTCTTCGCCTTCCTGTCGAGCCAGATCTTCCTCAGCGAGCCATCTTCTCGAATGAGGCATCCTCACTCAGTGATGCCCTTTTATACTACGCTTTGTGCTAGCTGATAACACACCGACCTCTGCACGATGTGCGCAATGATGTATGTCCGGAAGAAACACAAGTTGTTACCACCGGACATTGTCATTATATATCCACCATCAGCATCGTGTATAAAAGGGCATCACTGAGTGAGGATGCCTCATTCGAGAAGATGGCTCGCTGAGGAAGATCTGGCTCGACAGGAAGGCGAAGAGGCAACGTCGAGGCGAACAACAAGCATGAAAAAAAAACTCGGATCACCGGCTCTGAGGAAGACGAAGACGTCGAAACGTTAGCCGAAAATAAATATATTTATCAACCTCGTGCAAGCTTATCAAGAAAGAATACATATTGATTTGTCACACCGAGGTTTAGGGAAGGTCGGTTTCGAAATATTACTACGCTTTGTGCTAGCTGATAACACACCGACCTCTGCACGATGTGCGCAATGATGTATGTCCGGAAGAAACACAAGTTGTTACCACCGGACATTGTCATTATATATCCACCATCAGCATCGTGTATAAAAGGGCATCACTGAGTGAGGATGGAGACCTCATTCACTGAGTGAGGATGGAGACCTCATTCGAGAAGATGGCTCGCTGAGGAAGATCTGGCTCGACAGGAAGGCGAAGAGGCAACGTCGAGGCGAACAACAAGCATGAAAAAAAAAAGATACAGACATAGTTGTGATAAAATTTCGAGAACAAAGTTAGGAATCAATAGTTCTGTTAGTGTGGAAAGAGCAATCAACTCGTAACCAATAGGCTGGTTATTCTTTACAGAGTAACTTTGAAACATACTTCAATCCTCGTTGTGGAATTCAACGCAGGATAGTGCAAAGATACATTTTTGATAGAAAACCTCTTGACCACAGTGAGATATGTACTTGTAATTATCATTAATCTACTGTCTACTTATTTGAATACTTGGGTGGTCAAGTCTTCACTGGTTGTGCGGCCCCAACAAAAATTCCATTTTTTCGGAGTTTTGCCGATTTAGCCATTGTCCTTCCCTGGAATCCCGAGGTCACCCTAGCCAACGTGTACTCCAGGTCGTCGCCACCACAGGGTGTCCCGCCCTTGTGGATCAGAGGGAGATTTGTCACCATGCGACTAGTTTGATTCCAGGACGGTGGTGGATCTTGGTGTTGGTTTACTCGTAGGTGAGCTACCTGATGGAAACACCGGATTCTTCAGCTTGAGAGACCATGCCAGAGAGGAATTCCCTAAAGTACATCGCGACCCGACACACAGAAACACCTCCCAGCCACGATCAAAGGCAGCAAACCGTTCATGTCTAATAATAATAGAGTTAACAATTTAATAAAGCTAATAAATTCCTTCCTGTCGTCTATGTATTTTATACTCTGCAATCTACACCCAACGCTTGCAATTTGACGCTTAGAAGCAGTTAAATTTAATCTCTTTTGTTGTTTTGTAAGTATATCAGTAGTTCGATAGTTGTAACTGCTTTTGAGGGCTATACATAGCATAACACGTTACAGAAATTTGTGTTGTTACTCATTTTTTCCACGTTTTTTCCTTTATTTCATGCTTGTTCATGCGGTTTAGGGCGAGTGGATAACAAACGAGAAAACAGACGTTTATGATTAATTATAGCTTTGTGATGTTTACGAAACCACTCTTCAGGACAAACTAACGGTGTTTTCGTGGGCGACGATCCCGAAATCTGTAGACACGGTTTTCAGTAATCCATTGATCCGTCAGAAGTATAGTTATCGATCCATAATAGACGACATTCATCCAGAACGCAAACCACCAACATTTGGCGAACGTACCATCGCCGATCGCTTCAGAAATCTGACGATTCGTCTCTTTAGCACCGTGGACAATATTCATATAGATGAATCTGCTAAAGTAAATGATCCAAGCAATACAGCAACGAAAATCTAGGACGTCTTCCCATTCGTTCGACAGAGGACGCGGACAGCTCCATTCGGTGATTTTCTTCCAGCCACAGGACTCCAGCTCATAGTCGATTCCACAGATTTGACAGTTTGTGTTATGTGTGACTTCAACCCACTTTTCAAGACAAGCCGAATGGATTCTTGCCACTGTTCCTTTGCAATTGCATGGACATATGAGCTTGGATACTTCCTGACTATCGTCTAAGCAAACTCTGCACAGGGCTGTTGAATCGGTACTGGTCGTTGTTGCGCTGCTTCCAACTGGAGTACTGGAATATGTAGCAGGACCAACTCTGTTCTGAGACATCTCGACGCCGACTTTGGTGATGTAGTCGTGAAAAATGAGTTTTACTACTAAAGTACTGCTTTGTTTTTACATTATCAAATCGATATATTGTTATTTTGATAGGCTTGCACGAGGATGATAAACAATCCTTTTCCGCTAATGTTTCGACGTCTTCGTCTTCCTCAAAGCCCATGCTCGGTGGTCCACAGTTGCTTTCCTCGATGTGGTGTCTTCGGGTCGGACTTTCCTAAGCTTATCAAAGAAAAAAATACATATTGACTAGTCATACCGAGGTTAAAGGAAAGTCGGTTTTGAGATTTTATCATTTAGATTGTTTGGAGCGTGTTGGAAAAGGTGAATCTCACAGTTTACAAGAGTTATGCTCGTTCTGGTTATTTTATCTGATATAACGTATAATAAAGTGAATCTGTTTCACAGTTGTACTTATGTCAGCAGTTACAAGATATAGAGGTTGAGCCTAATATCTAGTGTACTTTTATATATATATACATATATGTACAAATATATATACTTAAGGGCGCGTATAAGGCAGTGGTCGGAGGCGCCGTGTAATACACAAGAGATCGATCCACACGCCACAGGTTCACCAAGCCCTCCATCCCTCTGGGGTCGGTAAATCGGTACCAGACTTGTCTGGAAGGATAGCAGCACTGACTCGATATGGTCATTGTAAAGGCCAGACATGCATTCAATCACTTCCAACGATGGTTAATGAAGTCGGATGCATGGTGGATCCCTCACGGACTGATCATCCCCGAGGATTTATCCTTGTCTTTATCTACTTGGCCCTTTTCTTTGTCAGTTTGGGGGCTTATTAGTTTGGGATTTTGGAACTTAGTTTGAGACTTCTGATTTATTACCACTTCTGAGGAAGAAGTAATCGCGTTGGCGTCGTATTTACTTACTGACTTTTTCATATTGTTAAGCGTTTGTGTTCACTTCCAGGATTTTTTTGTCACATTCGTCTGTCTTATATGGCATTACGACTAGTTTTGGATTGTGTTCAACAACAAATGCATATGCGAATATGTTATGTGGTGTTGCGAAGGTCTTATTGTAACGAGAGAGTTTTCAAATCAATTCTTTCTCCTAGCCAAGTTACCAGTCCCTTTGCTGACCCTTTCCGAGAGGTAGGTAACCGTTATGCTTAGCTTTATCGTCTTTCTTTTCCTGAATTATCTCTTTATTGCTTCTGTGTTTCTGTGGTTTTTATAACCGTCTAGGTCATTTTGGAAACAGCAATGGTATCTAATATATTGGCAGTGTACTGTCGTACCATACTCGCTAGGAGAGATTGAAAACTAACCGGGGTGGAGGTTGACTTATGAAAGAATTAGGTGAGCTATACTCACGAGAAAATTTTTGGATGTATTTAGGCATCAAAACGAGCAACTGGCTTGAATGGTGCCATGTGTTTCTCTCTACCACTCGAAGCTTCTACGAATAACGAGCAAGCAGCGCAAATGAAAGTCCTGTCTTCCAGTCAGAATTCATTTGAGAAACCGGTGAAGAGAATTTCGGAAGAAGTGAGTACGTTTTGGACGCTTAACATTTGAAAAGTGGTCGGAGGCCCCCCACAATACACATGGGATCGATCTCCGCACTCCAGGCTCACCAAGCCTTCAAGCTGGTACCAGACTTGTTAGGAGGATATCAGCACTGGCTCGATACATCCGTGAACCACTGCGAGTCATTGTGAAGGCCAGATATGCATTCAATCACTTCCAACGATGTCTAATGAAGTCGAATGCATGGCGCATTCCTCAGGGATTGATCAACGCCGAGAACTTGATCCTTTTATAGTACCTGACAAGACCACATAGTCATAGAAACTGGATTTAAAGAATTCTCCGTCGAGTTATTTCTGTTTCCAACGTAGTTTGAAAAGAATTTTTGATTTGTGGTATTGTGATTGTTTGAAACGGAAATTTAACATGAAAAGGCCGTCAAGGTTGCTAAACCTTCTTCCAATTTGACTTTTCTTTCAGCCATCATGGAAAGGTGAGACAACCTACTGTGAGAAGGGAATATAGGCTTCCCATTCATTTTTATCTGGCTCAGAAATATTGAGATCCTTCATAGAAATGGGGTGAAATTTTACAATCATACATTGTTCACCTCCTTCAGAACATATCATTGTTTGTTTTCAAGCGTTCTTCACTTCGATTTCTGGCGATGCTTTTCTGAAGTTTACTGAGAAAAAGATTAGAAGAAGGAACCAGATGACGTGACGGTGAACACGTCAGCCTCCGAAAAGGCAAATAGCGGGTTCAATCCCTGCCGCAGACAGTTGCTGTTCGGAGATTTGCAATACTTCTTGTTTCCCATGACCGACTTTCTGTTAACCTCGGCATTAATTGATAATTCAATGTTTTTCATCAATAAGCAGACACGAGGTTGTTAATATAGAATTTATTAGAACACAATTGCTGACGTTTCGGCGGTTTCGCCTTCTTCAGAGCCTGGAAAGGTCAAATTGAGATGCGATCTACTCAGCCAAACACTTTCATAACCCTAGCAGATAAAACTTGATGAATCGATTTGTGTTCGCATAAGAAACAGCTTCATTCAAACACCTACCGTTTATTTGTCGTAAGTATTTAAGTTAGTTGGTGGATAGCCGCCGCACAGAGTAATACATGGTCGATAACTGGGTCCATGTCAGATCATTGGATCAGCCTGAGGTATGGCGCTAGGTCACGCGTGATGACAAGACACTCCTCCTTGCGGTTCATTTTTGAATTTTTGGCATTGATCCAAAACGCTTCAAGAGTTTTTCGCGCTGATGTTTTCGATTCCTGCGTAAGGATAGTGACTCCTACCTCAAAATCTTCTCCGT